TTTTTTTTTTCTCTGCCACATCTGGTTTCTTACATTTCTTGCAGCTCAGTTCCTCCCTGCACCGAAACAAAGGAGAAATGGCACCTCTGCCACCACACCAGTGCCCTGGTCCCACCAGCACACGGAGCCCATGGGGAGATTTTTCATCAAAACCTGGAGCTCGCGTGCGGTGGCGAGTGGATCTAAGGATTTCGGTCTTAATCTCCCTCCTCTGCCGCATTCCTTAGTAGTGACAGCTACTTCTTGCAATATTCTTGACTGTGGGCTCTGAGGCACAGCTTTCCATCCGTCTGTCCAGCATCCAGCCAAACAGGTCCACATTCCTGAGCAGAAACAGCTAGCACTGCCACTCGGAGCAGCTCGAAAGCCTCGGGTGGAAATCGGAACGATTTCGCCAAACATGAGGGAGAGCGGCAGCGGCCAGACCCACAAACACAGGGCACAGGGGCAGGACCAGACCCACAAACACAGGGCGCAGGGGCAGGACCAGACCCACAAACACAGGGCGCAGGGGCAGGACCAGACCCACAAACACAGGGCACAGGGGCAGGACCAGACCCACAAACACAGGGCACAGGGGCAGGACCAGACCCACAAACACAGGGCACAGGGGCAGGACCAGACCCACAAACACAGGGCACAGGGGCAGGACCAGGTCCCGCTGCCCCACCACGAAGCCTGGGGACATGTGCCGTGCGTGCCAGGGTGCCAGCGCGAGCCCACGCTGGTTCCACCCTGCTCTGTCTCTGCTCCAGGTTGTAAAATGCCACAGCCAAAACTCGTGCCCGCGAGCGGGTGCTCAGGCCCCTGTGGCTCACCCCTCTCCCGCTGCCACAGGGCCCTGGTTCTCTCTGACCCACCGCTGGCAGGACCCCCGGCTGCTCCCGCACCCCAGCGTGTCTCCGGGTGCCAGGGAAAGAGATTTATATTTTTCTTTGTAATAAAAAGGCTCTCTGAGAAGCTTTCTGCTGATCCCGAAAGGATGTGAAAGCAATAAAACCCCTCCTTATTTTACAACCAAGCTGCAGGATTTTTTGCTGCTGAGTGCAGGGGCCTAACGCTTGATTTCATAACCAGAAAGTCACGCTCTCCTCGCCCAGCTGAGGGAAGGACCTGCACCAGGAGCTCGGGGCTCATTGGGCCTCCAATTTTATGTCTGGGGGGTCTCACAGCTGGACCTCAGTAGCTGACCTGGGCGACTAAACACCAGGGAAGCAGGTGAATGGAGCAGAAAATGCCTGAGCTGCCGTAACCTAAAGCAGCCAGAGCCCTGGACTAAACTTTTTCAGAGTTAATTTTAATGTTTTCAAGTCAAATATCTCCCTGGTCTTATAAAAACTCTTGGGAGGAAAAAATAAATTAATACTAACAGTAATAATAAACCCACACAAACAAAACAACAACAACAACAACAACAACAGGACACAAATACTTCTGAAATACTTATGGAAAGGAGGGAGAACAAACAAACGTAGGTACGAGATATTCATAAAGGCTCTGCTGCCCTATCCAAGATTTTATCCATTTAATTCTCGAGCTAGATCTATCCCCTATTTGTCACGACAGCACGGGCAGAACTCATCCTCCGTTCTTCTGTCACATCTCTCCCCGCTCCAAGCGAATTCCCGGCTCTGCCTCCCTCGCACACCTCACCCCGCAACCGACCCGGACACCGCACATCACCCTTCACCCCAAGGGACGTCCGCGGGGATAACGAAACGGAGCCGGTCCCGAGGGCAAGGGTGGAAATGGAGCTTTGAGCGCCTGTTTCCAGCCGGGATCTGCCTCCCCGGGCTGTCCCCGCCGCCGGGACCCGGCTCTGGGCGCTGCTCGGTCACTGCCGGGACTGCGGGTCGGGGACCCCGGGGGGAGTCCCCGAGCCCGTGTTGGGGCGAACATCCCTTGTTCTCTCCCCACGCTGCTTCCTAAAGTCCGGGTTACCAGCAGCCAGGAGCGCTCGGGAAAACACCCCGGCGGGGTGGGGGGGCTGTCAGCACACCGCGTCTCTGAGATCCCCACAAAACCCCTGGAATTATATTAACGGCTGGAACCGTGGAAGCTTATTTAAGAAAGAAAAGGGGGGAAAAGAGACACGCAGCCAGGGATGCTCCCGCAACACGCTCCGAGGCTCCGGGCGGCTCCTTCCCCGCCCGCGGCGGGGCCCGTCGGTGCGGGGGGACACCGGCAGGGACCCTCCGTGAAGGGACGGTCCTGGAGCCCCGGGATACGGGACGGGACCGGCTGCGGGGGCAGCGCGGGGCTGCGGCCGCTTCCCTCCCGTCCCGGGCTGTTCCTGACTAAACTCGCCTCCAAGGACGGGAGTTAAAGGGGGATTTGGGGATTTGGGGAAGGTGATTAATATTTTGTTGAACCAGGACAACAGTATCTCGGCAACTAATTACGGAGAGATGTATCTGTTTTCACAGGCACAGATTTCTATCAGGTTTCTATCCGACGGCCGTTCCGCCAGGAATTCCAGGATTAATCGGTATTTGAGATCTCGACGCGATTTAGGACAAAACTGCGCTTTTTAGGGTTTACCCTCACTCCTTGCAGAGAGGAGGTCCCCGAGTCTCGCTGCCCACCTGCCCTCTCCTGCACAACCCAGGACTCTCCGATGGTTTTAATTTAATTGTATTTTTTCCGGGGGTGTCATTCACCCGCGGGGCCCCGGGCTCGGCCCCGTTGGGGCTCCAGGACAGAGCTCAAAGCTGGAAGAGCCAGAGGAGTAAGAACGACCACGCACTACATATTTTAAAAAATTAAATAAAGCCGAAAATAAAGGAATTTGTTCCCCAGGCTGAGCAGAGAGCAGCGGTGTTTGATCGGGCATTCTCGGCTGCAGCTTCTATAATTCCTCAGCTTTCTTGTGAGCCGAACTCGTCGGTTTTGGGATTTCCAGGAGTAGGGAAGAAGGAGAGCGGCCACAGAAATACGGGCGAACGAGGACTGGAGCCCCGGAGCGGTGCCGGGACAGAGCCCACGGTGCTGCCGCTGCCCCAAGGAACCCCCGGTGCCTCCGTCCCGCCCCTCCCGGGGTAATCGCCCGCGTCCCCCTGCAAACACCCGCCTGGCTTTGGATTTATCTGTTTCTCCGGCGAACTCGGGGCTTCGCGCTCCAAACACAGCAATAATAATAGAAAAAAATAATTTAAAAAAACCCAAACAAAACAACAACAATAAAAATAATTTTAAAGGGGAAAAAATAAGAAAGGGGGAAATATATATATTTAAAAAAAAAAAAAGGAAGAAAGAAAAAAAACAAACGAGAACCGGCGTGAGAAGAGCAACTGTCCGTGGGCACGGGGGATGCGGGCGACCTGCTCCCACCGTGCCCGCCTTCATCCAGGGATATTTAAATTTTATTTTTCCTTTTTTTTTTTCCCCTTCTTTCCAAGACTAGAGGACTGGAGAATCCCTAGGCACAAACCTGGCGCTAAACAACAACAAATCCCCTCGACAGGAGAAGAAAAATTCTAACTAATGGCGCTTTTGGAAAAAGGAGGGGAAAACCCCAACAAACCACTGTAACTCCAACCGAACTTCCAGACAAATATTGGCACTGCGGGGTGTTTCCCGAGGGCTCCTGGGTGCTGCTGCCCGGCCCAAGCCGTGGAGGAGCGGCCGCTCCCGGCCCACGCACCCCGCAGCTCGTCGCGAGCGTTCCTCTCTCCCGGGGGTTTGATGAAACGCCTCTCCTGCGTTCTGATTAAAGCTCAATTAATGCGGGTCATTAATGCCCCGCTGGCAGACGCGTGTTCCTAGAACAGCCATTTCCAGGGAAAAGGGGCTGCGGCGAAGCGGGAGCGCCGCTCCCCCCGTGAAACGATCGGTGGCGGCGGGGGAAGAGTCGCACAATTGGGATGTTTTTCCCGGACCGCCGAGGCCGGGCAGTCACCGGGGGTTCGGCTGCGGCCGGGACCGGCACCGGGACTGCGGGGCTGCGGCCCCCGCCGGGCCCGCGTTACCGGACCCGGCCCGGCGGCGGCGATTCAACGCGTCCTTCCCATCCACACATTTCTGTAAAATCGCGGGGAGAAGCCAAGAGCAGCGCTGGAATATTCCATAGGAGGGGTCACCCAGAGCACCGCACCGATCGCTCCCGGCCCAGACCCCGTTCCCGCAACACCCCGGCGGAGGGTTCAGTACAAAAATATTTCAGGGAGTTGAGCTGTTCTACCCACGGGTTCGCTGGGAAGCGGAGGGGCTGCTCAGCGAGCGGGGGAGAACTGTAGATGGGAGACCCCGAAGGCCATGCGGGACCCCTGCCCGCAGCCCCGCCGGTCCCGGAGGGAGAAGCCGTTCCCTCCGCTGGTCCCAGAGAGAAGCCCCGTTTCTGGAGTTGCAGACGGGGGGGTCTCCGTAGGCCTGGTTTTGCCGAGGCGGGGGGCGACCGCCTGGGGGGCTGCGGGACGCTCCCGTCTGCGGGGACGGGCAGCACCGGCCCCCACGGCTGCGCCACCTCCTCGCCCCCGTTAAAAGCGTCTTTCCCCCGCAGAAGCCCCGCCGAACGGGCCCGATCCGCTGCGGCCCGGGGCTGTGCGAAGCGGTGCGCGGCCCGCGCTGCCTCCCCCGCCGCCGGGCGCGGGGCTGCGGCCGAGGGTGGCGGGACCGGGAGCTGCTCCAAGCCCCGCCGGGGCATCCCCGGGGCTTTCCAGGCAAACCGTCCGCGGCCGCCGGCGGGGAGGGCCCCGGGGCTCCGCGACAACCGGATCCGCCCGTCCGGGTCCCTCTGCCCCCCGTACCGCGAAGGAGCGGCGGCCGCGGTACCGCCCCGGGGAGCGCCGCGGGCCGGGGGCGGGTGGGCGCGCTGGCCCGCCGGGACCCGCCGCTTTCGTTTCAGTCTCACCGGGAACGGCAGCGAGTCCTTTCCGACGGGCGGGGGGCGGCCTCGCGGGACGGCGGTCACGGAGGGAACCCGACGCGGGGGAGCCCCGAGGGCAGGAACGGGCGCGGAGCCCGGCCCGGTGGCGCGTCCCGCGGAGCCGCCGCGCTCTTACCTTTCTTGATCACGGACTGATCGAGAAGGTTCATCCCGCCGTCGTCCACGGCCTGAAAGCACCGAGGAAAGAGCCGTCAGCCGGCGGCTCCCGGGGCGGGCGGGCACCGGGACAGTGCGGCCTCGGCCCGGTGCTCTCGCTGCCCCCGGCCAGGAGGAATGGTTGTGGCACGAACGAGCCCCGGTAACGGGGATGCCAGCGCGGCGGCCCTGCTTGCCCGGGGGTACGGACGCCGCGGGGCTTGACCTGTCCCGGCCGGGAGCCCCCGGGCACACAGGCGGCTGGATCGGTCGTTCCCCCCCCAGCCCCCGGGCACCCTCCCGGCTCTCCCACCGTCCCCCCGTACCTGGATATCCTCGATGCCGTGGTGGCCGAGGCCGTGGAGGCCCAGCGGGCCGTCGGCGAGGCCGTGGCTGCCGTCGGGCAGCCCGTGGAGCAGACGGGGCACGGCGGGATACTCGCGGCGGGGGTCGAGCCCCAGGGCTCGGTGGGTCTGCGAGAGCAGCCCCGGCTCGTCCTGCCGGCCGCGCTGGGGGGGCCAGGCCGGCTGCTGGTGCTGGTGCAGCGGGCTGAGCGCCGCGTACGGGTCCGCCAGGTGCGGGTAGCCGGGCTCCTGGCCCTGCGGGTATGGCAGCGGCGGCTGCGGGTACGGCGGGGGGAAGTAGGGCGGCTGGAAGTCGGCGGCGGGCGTGTGGCAGAGCGGCGGCGCCGAACCGTAGGGAGCCTGGTTGAGCGAGGGCAGCTGCGGCAGGCGGGCCCCGGCCGGCGCCCCGGGCAGCCCCTCGGTGCGGTCCTGCGGCGGCGGAGACAGCGGCGGTGAGGTGAGGTGAGCACGGACCCCCGACCCCCCGTCCCATCCCGTCCCGTCCCGTCCCGCCCAGCCCGCGCCCGTCCCGCACTCACCATGCCCGGGTAGCTGTGCACAAGCATCGGTGCGGGCCCGCGGCGAGCCCCGGGCGGGCCGGGCCCCGGGGGTGCCCCCGTCTCCGCCCCTCTATCCCGCCGAAGCGACGTCTCCCATCGCCCGCCCGCTCCTCTGCGCCGGCCCCGACTCCATGCACGCCAGTTATAGCGACGGGGGCGCGCCCGCCGCCCCGGGAGCGCGCGTCAGAGCGCGGGGACGGGGACGCGCCGCCCGCTCCCGCGGGGCCCCGACGGCTCCCGACAGCGGGACGGCGGTGGGACGCGGCCGGGGCGGGGGGCGAGGGGCGCCCGCCGCCCCCTGGGAGCGCAGCCGGTGCTACCCCCGCGCCGTCGGGCGGCCCCGCTCCCCGCACCGCTCCCGCGCCGCGCGGTACCGCACACCCTTCCCCCGGTGCCACCCCCGGGCCCCCCGCCCCGGACCGCGCCGACTGAGAGCCCTGTCCCAGAGAGCCCCGGGCCGCCCCAGGACCGAGCCCCCAGGGTCGGAAGAGTCCAGGGGTGCGGGCGGGGTGTGGGGCGGTGGCGACGCTCTACGGTTTGACTTTATTAGCCCGAGCCGGGAGCGGGGCCCCGGCCGGGAGCGCACCGATGGCCCCGGCGGCAGCTGAGACTGTCCCCGACGAGGCGAGAGAGCCGCAGCCCGGACTGGGGAGAGAGAGAGAGAAGTGTCTGGGGGTGCTCCGGGCCTGGCTCCCTACCCGAGGGCGGGCGCCGGCTGCGACAGAGCCAGGGGAAACCGGGGAGCACCGACGGGCAGCATTCCTGCCTCCCCGCCCTCCACCATCCCTCCCTCCTCCTCTCCATCCCTCCCTCGCTTTTGGACCCTCCCTCCGGGGCCGGGCAGGGCGAGGCGGGCCCGCAGCATCGGGTCCCTGCGCGCGGCACTGGGCACGGAGCACCGGCGGGGCGAACCGGGGGGACGAGGAGGCCCCGCCAGCGGCACAGAGTGACCCCAATGACAACCTATCCCCCCCGCCATATTACGCCCACGCAGGCGTGTCCCCACGGACCCACGGCGGGGCGGTGGTGCCCCGCACGGCCCTGCGCGGGGATGCCCACCCGCACGGGCACACTCGCCCACTCTCACACCCCGACACACGCTCGCGGCGCTCGGACACCCGCGGTCACAGCTCCCCGCAGCCCACGGGCGCCGTGGCCGGGCTGTGGGGTGGCGGGTCCCCGCGGTCTCACCGTGCCACCCGCGGGGCGCCCGTGGCTGGGCGGGAGGTTCCACTGGCAGCGGGTTTTGGGTGAAGCAGAGCACAAACCCTTCACCCGCAGCTGTAACACGCTGTGCCGTGTGATCGACATCAACAAACACAACCCCACACTGCAGTTAATTTAATTCCACTCTTCCCGCCCCGAGCTACAGCTCCCTTCATTTTCATTTTTCCTCTGAATTCCCACAACTCAGACCTCTTTGATTTCCAGGTTTAATTAACAATGCTCATTAAATGAATTTTTATTCATTTCTTTTAATATTACCCTGCCACCTGTCTTTAGGAGGCAAGAGCTGATCGTTTATTCTAATTTATTTCTGTTAAAGATGGCATTTAAGGGAGGGAGGAGGGATGTGCAGAGGTGTAGAGGGTTGATCCATTCAAATCTCTTCATCCCCCTCAAATGCTCTTCAAGGACGCTGCTCCTGGAAGTTCTGTATTTATTTTCCACCAGATCCGTTTCATTTGCTAGGAAAAATTGGATTGGATATGCTGTATTTTGCAGTTATGTTCCAGTTCATTCTTAACATCCCTCACTCGTCTAGTCCGTATAATGTTGAGTCTTTATTCATCTGAAAGAGGTGAAACTGTGCAAAATCCAGGTGGGAAGGGCTGTGAGCCGACCTCTGTGGGACCGTGGGTGAGCAGGTGGATGGTCCCTGGCAGCAGCTCAGAGGGAAATCGTGTTTCCACCCAAGAATGAGACAGAGCAGAGGAAACCTGCAACACAGACAAAGGGAAGGAAAAACAAAAGGCAAAGCTGCCCCACTGCCACCCACAGAACACGCTGGGCAAACTGGGCTCGTGGCGACACGGTGGGCTGGGGTGGGGAGCTGGGAGCTGTGGGGCTGTGGGGCTGCCAGGGGGTCTCACCCTCCCCAGCCCAGGGCAGCGGTGCCCAGGAAGGAGACAGGGACCTGAGAGCACCCAAATAGTACCTGCAAGATGACCTAGTCCCTCCCTGCCCCAGCCCCTCTGTACAGCACCCACCTGGTGAGGAGGGCAAACCAAACCCCTGGGTCTCCCATGGCAGGAGGCACCTCTTAAGCCACCTGTGGTGACAATAAACAATTACTCATTTTAACCTGCTGTCCCAGGGCCCCAGGCAGGGCCCAGGACTGTTACACAGGGGGCTGCACACACGATGTCCCAGCAGCTGCCTGGTTCTGCTACTGGTTCAGCCTGGCCAGAGCAGTTGCTGGGGTCACCTGAGCACAGGACACTCAAACGTGGCTCCCCACTACCTGCTCTTTACCCAGCTGTGCTTGTGTTTTGCTCTGCCAAAGGTCCTTTGTGTTTGCTGACAGTGACATGATCCTACTGAGGTCCTCAACACGAGACCTGCCCCCTTGCCCCCCTGCTATGGGGAGCATTTTCTGTGGATCTGGGCCAGGTCCCCACCCAGGGACCACTCGTCGTGTTTGCACCCAAGCCAGAAATCTCTGAAAAACTGGTTTTGTAACAAAGGTCCCAGAGCTCCTTCCCAGGAGATCAACGTGTGTGTTGGCACTTCCAGGAGCATGTGAGGGGCTTGAGGCAGCAACCTCTGCTCCTGGGGGTCAGCAACAAAGATACCAACCGAGCAGAGCAGTGGGAGCACAGAGACAGGAGTGTGTGAGCAGAGCTCTTCCCCAGCCAACGATGGACCAGTTCTTCTCCAGAAGCCCAGCTCCCACCAAGACCTCAGGGAAATGCACGCTGCTCCTATCAATTCCCAAGTCCCTTTCCCAGGAATCTAGGTGGGGAAGGAATCTCCTTGCTATGGGTCTGGAGAGCCAGGCAGGGCCCTGGGGAGGACTGGGACCCTGCTGAGGGGTGGGCAGGGAACAGGGCACCCCCCTCTCTGCTCAGGCCTCCACGCTCACCACCCAGCTACATCATGCAGCAGGAGGGAGGGGGCTGTGTTGGGTTCCTGCAGTGCAGCAGCCAAATAACAACCTTATGACATATTTAATTTTATTGCCGGTGCTTTTGGGGTGAGATTAATGAACTCTGTAAGTTAACATATGCCATGGTTGGGTTTGCAATGGTGTTATGACATTTAAGCTGTCAAAGCAAAACAGAATGTGAACCTGCTCCTCTGGGGCCTTGTCCATCTTGTCAGAGCACAGTGAAGGATCAGCTTGTTCCTGGAGAGCTCGTCCTGGTGTTGGGAGTGCACTGGGAGATGAAGCACAGCTTACTCAGGGTGTACTGGCTGCAATCCCACTCCTTGCTGGGATCTCTGGCAGAGAGGGGGCATTAGGTGATGCCACATCCACCTCTCTGGCACCGGAGGATCAGTGCCCGTGGGTGCCAGCGGCAGAACCTGTGGTTGGGGTTGCAGGGCTCGGGGTGGCTGAGGACACCCTGCAGCCTTTGAAGCCTCGGCCAGGCTGCCAGGGCACCATCTCCCTCGCGTGGGCTGAGCCGCCCGGGCGTGCCGGGGCCTGCCGAGCGGCACACGCGGAGCCAAAGGAGGTGCCCACGTGGCAAGAGGCCTCCACCAGCTCAGTGCCCTCCCCTCCTGAACGTGCTGCGCTCACAGTCGTCAGAGCCCGGTCTCGGGAAGAGAAAACAGCCCTTTAGGGGTGCTCTGTCTGAGAATGGGTTTGGAAGGTGCTGGTGTTGCTCAAGGAGCTCCTCTGGCACTCAGCCCAGTAACATCCCAGAGCAAGGAGGGTGTCTCACCCCTTCCTCTGTCATCTGGGAGGAGCTTGTGAGGAGTGTGTCTTGTGTCATGCAAAGACAGGAGTATATGATGAGCCATCAGGGGCTCTGGGAGGCTCCAGCTTTGGCAGGGCATGGATGGTCCTGCCTGATGGGACTTTGCATGGAAGAGTGTGAGAATGAGGGGCGGGGGCTCGTCTCCAGGCACCTGCTGGTGGCCAAACCCCCCTCCACAGGATGTGGGGAGGGATAAAGCTGGAGAACTTCCCTGGGCTTTTGATTTGCTCCCAGGTAGCCTCTCTGGGAAGTAAATCCAGCAGCCAAAGGCCTCCAGGTGGAGGTGTTGGTTGGGGTTCTGTGGGTCCAGGCTGGATTTCTGGTCAAGTGTTGTGGGAGCTCCAACCTCTGCCTGCAGGGATGAACCCAGGCCAAGCCAGATCAGCTGCCCACAGTGAGCCCAGCACCACACTGGGGAGAGCAGAGCACCCTCCTGCTGACATGGATTGTATCTCTCATTAGCACTAATGAGTGCTGTTGTTGATGAGAAGCCCACACACCCTGACCAGAGGCAGGAGAGCTACAGGACCAGGAACACTTGAAGGTAAAGGATTTGAGGGTTTGGGTGTTTTTTTTCCCCTGGCTCTGCAGCGTGTTCCTGACCCTTCCTACACGCTGATGTTTCCCTGTGGTGCAGGGATGTGTTCCTGGCAGGATGGGGAGTCTCTCCCAGCCCACACTCCACAGAGTTCTGCTCTTTTCCAAGGCCAGGAGGCTCATTTGCCTGTTTGGCTCGCACTGCTCTGCTGGGAGCACCTGCCTTTGTCCCAGCTTGTGCTGACTGGTCAGGGCTGAGCTGGAAACATGAGGAAGATACTTTCCCTGAGCAACAGCCTCCTCTCCAGCTGTGTGAGGCACTTGCTCTGGTAAAGCAGTGAGACAAAAACATGGTGTAAAGCAGGAACACAGCCAGAGCCAGCCCTCCGTTTGAGGCGGCTCCTCGCTTGATTTTCCCTTGATGAGGCGACTGCACAGCGCCCCGGGAGGAGTTTTGATCAACGCCTTGGGCTGGCAGCAGAGCCGGTCCCGGCGAGGCTGCAGCTCCCAGAGAACTCCTCGGCTGACACCTGGTGGAAAAGT